CACACTCACTACACTACTGACAATACTGATGTACATATGTATTTTATACTTTGTTTAGCGTGAATATTGTTCAATATACACCTCAAAATACTGCAATCCCCAAAATACAAAAATTGTTTTTTCATTTGCGCTTGTGTTTGGATTCTTGTTTATGTTTGACCTTGACAGTTCCTCCAAAACAACTGAAACCGACCTTTGCTCTATCAAAAATGACTTTAACATCTTTGCTGTTTGCTATAAATGACTATAACAACGCATTCCCTCCTATCGTACCACTTGGCAGTTGCTGGCTGCATGTGTCTGTGTGAAGTGATCTTTTTTACAGACATAATTAGTCTTGTAAAAAGAAAAGTAATGCCTGCAAAACAAACAAGGACTGCTGCCCACAAACAACCAACGCAAAAGCTTCTCCATCTGTAGACCTTCTTGCGTACCCCTGGATGAGAACGGTTTGCTTGAGTTACTGCACCAGCCAGGAACAACTCTACCTCAGGTCCAGAAGCTGTTACTTCCCCATCTCAGACTAAAGGAAACTGCTCAGAGCTACCACCGATGATGATTGTGACTATGCAACAGTTAATGTCCCAGCAGCACTTCGACCTCAGTTGGACAGCTCATCTAAAGATGAATGTGAAGATGATTATGTACTCATGGGGTGAACCGAAACTAGAGGCAACGTTCATTCATGCTGTTGGAAGATGCAGGACCAGTAGATAATATCACAAACGGGAGAAAGTGTATATTTGTGAATATTGTGTAATGACATCCAATAACTTGTTTGCTGTTGAACTGCCAAGTTTCCAGTCAAACTGTTCATCAAATCTTCTCAATCATCTTCAGTGAAGAAACTGTGATAGATTAAAAAAACAAACACCCACAGTCAACAGCAGCTGGTTGTGGAAACACCAAGCCCCATGATGTTTCCCTCCACTTTTGAGGTAACCTCAAGCCTGAACACAACGGTGGTGTTCCTTCCCCAAGAAGACAAACTTGCATCACATTTAACCTCTTTACAGAGGAAACACAACCTCAGGAGGATAAACTGCAGCTCTTTAGTGTGATATGCCTGGAACTTCATCACATTAGCACATTATCTGGAATCAATGAGACAGGAAAAGAAACTGGACTTGTTTTTGGAATTTTGGTCAATCATACAAAAGGTCTCAACAGTTTGGGACATAATCAAGAATAGCAACGTCTCCAAAGCAGCAAATCCAGTCCAATCCATGTACAGCATACTTTCAGCTGATTGACTGAGGATCTTAATGTCACTATGTGTCAAATATTGTTTTATTATTTAGATGGCTTACATTTTTGCTTGTAGAAAAATGTGTATTCAGATTTGGTGCTTTCAGTGTGACTTTCAGTGTCAAGGGGTGTATGTGCTTTTTCCACCATGAAAGGAAAAGAACAGTTCTGTAACCCTGTAAACAGAAAATGTTGCTGTACTCAGGTTGGCTAATTTGAGTACACCTGCTGTCACTAACTTTTTCTATTGCAGATAAAAAAAAATCTTTATGTATATTCTGTTGAAACAGAGCCAAAGCTTTTCTCCAACTTGAACCAAAGTTTTGGTTGTTGAAACGTAACCCCACATTAAGCTGCCTCAACTTGGTATACTAATAACATGTATAACTTAAAATGTAGCAATTTGTGCCATTGTCACCTTATCCAGTCAATGAATGTAATGTTTCCTGAGAATTGCTGCACACAACCCAAATATACCACAAATACATATTTATTTCATTATTTATTTATTTGTATTCACATTGTTTTTGTTCATTTCATTCTTTAACATTGTTCTTATTGTAATTGTTCTTTGGCAGCACATGTCAACAAAAACATAAACTCATTACATAGTTCCATCAATTAAAACTGCATAGGTGAAATTGGATGTTTATGACTGAGGTCCCCCTGGACCCCAGAATATTTGTATTAAAAAGCACAAATTAAACCAGAAAACAACATGTTGTAAGTCCTTAGAAACAAACTGACAAAGTCATGAAAAATTGGAGTGACAGAATAAAGCACCTATGATACATAACAAAAAGTATACCTAGGGTCTATGGGTACCCCAGCTGGTAGGATTAAGTTTAAAAATGTAACACTTTTGTTCATTATACTGTTGTACTGTATTAATCAATTGTTTCAAATAAGTCATGGCATCCCTTTTTGTCTTCAGGTCAAATCTTCAGTAATGTTTTTTGCTACATTTCAGTCATGTAGATGACCATAAACAGACAACTGAAAAACAAAATCCAAGTGTGACATGTTTTGTGGACAGAAATACCTTTGTTTCTAATTAATTTCTGTAATAATATGAGGATAAGATAACTCATAGTTGCTGCAGCCTACGATTTAAGAGTTTAAACAGAAAGACTTTGTTCCCAATCACTTACACTGAAAATGCATTAAGAAGGTGTCTCTTAATGGTCTGAATGAACAGTAGGAATTATTACAGCCAGCAAAACTAGTTTCAATATCCATGTAGGCATCTGACTATGGATTTAAGAAAGACTTGAAAAACTGCAAACCTTTCAGCAGTTCTAGATGTAGCCTAAGTGCATATTATTAGTATTACTCAGACGACTATACACGGCACGAATGTCGAGCTACGAGCTCTCCAGTTACAGCTGATTATCATAAATGAGATCGACAGCTTAGGTTCAGTACGTGACGAGGTGAGCATTCGCTCTGAGTGGGATCTGCTGATTCCTCTAAGCTTTTGCCTATTGGAAACCATCAACACAGTCAGCTGACAGCTCACCTGATTGCCTTCAAGCATCCAATTTGGCAAATATCATCATGGCGCCTTATTTAAGCTGCTTTAGCCTGCCTATCTCTGCTGCTTCCTCTACAAGCCTTGTATTGCAACCCACCTCCACCCCAGCTCCTCCCGTTTTATGGGTGTTTCTAACTTATGGTGATCAATGTCGATTTTTCTCGATTGTCCTATTGTGATGCTTGTTCTCAATGTTTCTGGCTACCCTGAGGTGGGTCTGGCTGTTCTGGCTGCTGCTTTCTCGCTTGTCTCTCTCTTTAAACTTGGTAATCGTCAGACTGGGTGATGCACATGGAGAGGGCAGGAGTGTGCTCTCCCTGCCTTAAGGTTTGTCCACGTCGAAGCAGGCGTGGAAGTCGACTAAAGCGGAGGTCCCGGAAGACGAGCCATACCGCCAAATGTAATATTCTGCGTTGGAGATGAAGGAAGAGCTAGAGAGATTGTAGTGTGCTGCTTTGGAATAAAAGACTAAAATGATTATGATGATTAATTTGTTCTAATCTTCACCAGTAGATGGCAGAACAGTCTTTCCGGTTTCTATTTCCTATCCCCATTATGGGTTTCTTTAGAAATAGGTCGACACTCAGTCTGAGAGTACTGAAACAAATTCCAAAACTCACCATTTATTTGGATGTACCTTTCTGCTCCTACAAAGGACACACTGACACACACACACACATACTCCTGACTCACTGTCAGTGGAAAATTAAATTCATGTGCACTATTGTAGTGCTCTTTTTAGTTTAGTTTTTTTTTTTTTAGTAGAGCTATAAAGAGATCAGTGAGTTCAGATGTATTTTTAATAAACACAATTACATAATTATACATTAAGATATAAGAATATTGTCCATATTATCTTGAGGCAATTTCATAACTGAATTACACTTGTGTTCTTTACTTGGCACTCTTACTGGCTTGACTACAGCAATAATCCATTCAAATGTGAGCATCTCTTTAAAGTTTATCTATAAATACATGCTATAATAATAATCATTATCATTATATAATTGCCGCCCATGTATTTCACATAAACATCAAAAGTCTTTAGTTCTGTGGTCTTTGTGTGCAGCATCCGTCTGAAGAGGGTATTCTTTACAATTCAGCTGTTCATTTGTAGTTATTATTAATGTTCTCCATGAGACCCACACACAGAGAGCAGTGGGTTGCAAGTAGGGTGCATAGGAGCCAGTGAGTGACATTAGGTACGTCCCCTGTTCCATCAGTGAAGAGTTTTGAGTAGAATTAAACTAAGAGGCTTCCCTCTCTTCTCGGAAGACTTTCAGCTCTCTCTCTTTACTATTTCATCATTTCTCACTTTCGCAGCCCTCAGTTTCTCACTGATGCATGTGCAAGATTTTATGTGAACAAATCTGCAGATGAGTTATAGATAGAGTTTACACGTTGAACATAGCTGGCATAGGGCTCCACTTCCTCCACATCCTCCACCTGAAAAAAAAAGAGGTGTCACAAAACAAAACTTAACAGTGTGCAGTAAAACACACAGAACTGCAGAGTTTACCTACCGGTGGTGATTTGGATGGTGAGGTGTTGGACTGCTGGCATTGCCTGGAAAAAGGTGGATACACAACCCAGCTCAGTGACCAAACAAAGAAGAATGCAAGTAGTCATTTTAGTGATTCATTTTTCATCAAATTTAAATTCTTACCTCAACATTAGTTTCTTTTGTGCAAAATAACATAAAAGTCCTATCAGAAGCACAAAGATTACCACAACAATAAGGATGGGCAGCCAAAGACCATAACCTGCTGTGAGTGAAGATTAAAGGTTTTTTAATAATGTGCTGGACATCAATACTACACATCAAATCATTTTATCTAATCTATTCTAAATTATAATTATCACTATAATATGAAACACCATTAAGTCATTGTTTACCCAAAACATAAAACAGCTTTATATTTAATAATTATAGCGTCTGCACTAACCCCAGAGATTAAACCCTTTCTGTTGTGCTATCCATTCTGCACCTTTTCCGTGTTCTGGTACCAAAATCTTTTCCTCTCTCCAGTATGGATGCCTGATAACACAGCTCAGGTTTTCTGGATTCATTCCCTCAGGTAACTCCTGACGACTTTCGACTGTAAAAAATCCATTTGAGTCAATCACATGCTCCCCAGCCGTCAAGTTTTCCATATGACTCCAGGTGATGCTGGCTGCAGGTTTTCCTCTTTCAGCTTTGCACACTGCCACCACCATGTTGTCCTTACGCTCTAACCAGGCTGATATAGTGGGAGGAACTGAGCCAGGGAAGACAAAACAGGAGAAATAAGACTCACTGAATATCTCTAACCATGCAGATAAAGTTCTAATTTGCTTGCCTTTTCACAGTTTCACTTGTATAATAACATTTTTAGACAGTAAGATGCATTATCCAGAGTAATAGGGACATTGTGTCTAAAAAGTTCAGAGCAACTGAAAATAAATCCCATTACCCCCCTTTGTGTAATGGAAGAAAACATGATCAGTAGCAGATATTTCAAAATCTGGGCAAGTAAACAAACATGCAGTATAACAGATGACACCAGAGGAAAGCAGAATGTTCTGTTTTATTAGGTGTGATTTGGTGAATTGACACCTTAAGAAGTTCAGTGGTTTTTGAATTAATTTATCCTTGTGAGGAGAGAATTCATACCTGTGATAGACACATCAATCTTGTAAGTTTCACCTCCTCCCCTGTAAGCTATCTCACACTTGTAGATCCCCACGTCGTCATTTGAGAAGTTTGGGATGTGCAGGTATGATTTATCACTGGATGTGTTTTGCAGGGACTTCCCATCATTACAGGAATCTATACTTCGGCCATCATTGCTAAAAGATATCTTACAGTCTTTGTATTTCAAGTCTATCTTCCAGATAACATATATTGTCTCATTCAATGTCTTATCACTGCATGTGAGGTCAGCATCACTCCCCAGGTTGAAAGTTGTACGTCTGTCAACTGAAAAAAAGAAAATAAGTTGCATTATGTTTGCAAATAAAGGTGTAATTATTGTGCTGATGTTTTGATTTTATTCTGGTATGAAACAAGGTACACTTTATGTCCTAATATACACAAAAACATGCAAAACCAAAAGAATAAAACTATTCAGTATTCAGTTCTGCATGGAAGTGAAAAATGAAATAAAATAAAATAAACTATAAATGGCATGATAAAACACATTATAAACTAAACCATATAGCTGGTTTATGTTTAATAATGACAATAAAATATCTCCATATGGATATGGATTGTAATAGGAGGAAACCTTCTTAGGAATTATTTTGGATTCAACATTTGATTATGAACTGCCTAACATGATAATGATTAAATTCCATCTGAAAAACTGAAATCCTTTAAACTAGGATCTTTCAAAACAAAATTTTACAATGATGCAAAGGTTCCGAAATCTATATATGTATTTTTAAGATCTTTTGAATAAACAAAAGTTTCGTAATTATGCAATTATACACACATTTGGTATAGCCTCTTAATATTTTATAATTACATTCCAAAATGTATTTAAAATAACAACAATAAAACATGTCTGCTGCAGAAAAGATATCTCTTAATTCATTTTAACTAAATATGAATGAAATAAGGATTACTAAGGAAAGGAGGCATAGAAATGTATTTTGCCGTGTTCGGCTTCCTGTGCCTTCACTACTAATATTCTAATATTAATAGTCTTATTAAACATTTTATTCTTTCTTGCAAAATAACCAGAGAGAAAAAGGAGAAGATTTACCGGTATATTTGAAAGGGGTAGTAGTGTTGGAGTTTGCAGAGGTGTTTTGATTCTTTTCTGAGAGAGATTGGCGTGGATGTAAGGACAGAGTTAGTAAAACAGAAGTTAGTGAAGTGTTCAATCAGCAGAGCAACAATGAAGGTGGTTCATCTGTTATTCCTTATTTAGTGTAGTTAGTTAAGGTGTGAAGGCTTGTGATTAAAACTGGTCTAACATGACCAGCTGCAGAGGGGCTAAATCAAAGAACACAGACTGATTCCTGAACTTTTTCCAAACAGAAAAAACTCATCTAGAAGAAGGAAATAACCAAAGCTTAAACATAAAACTATGATTGTTATAATCTTCCCATTTTGGTCTCACGATGTAGAAGAAGCTCATGACATCAACATCCACGGTTCATTGGCTGACATTTAGTGTCACGGGGGTCTGAGACTTGTTTACTTCTGACAGGTAGTGTAAGCAAAACATGAAGTGGGGTGGCAAAACCACACGTCTCAAACAGTTGTGTCACTTCCACCTTTCAGAGACCCCACAGTGGAGAAAAACTGCATCGTAGTGATATGTCATGATTTCCACTGCAGAAACTAGTGGCACCGTGTGGCTTGTTCATTTAGAAAATATGGGCCAACTTTTTCATACATCTATTATGGAACATTTTCTTCCATTGTCAGCTTCTGCATTACCCCACCTCCATGCATGTTCCACTAACTGTCTTCACTGAGTCACACCGCGACAATCTCAGAGCAGCTAACCACTTACATTTACAATGTATTACTCATCCTACTACATAAGAATAATGAACTATGGCAGTGTGATATTTGAATTTTAATGCATGTTGACAGCTATAAATTCAAAAAAGACCAATAAATTGCCAACTGTACAGTACAGTGAACACTTCCTTAATCTTTGTGGAGGTTTTGTGCACCTCTAAAAAATCTAAAATCTGTATCTCACCAAGAAAAAACAATTCAGTACTAAAACCACATGTGAATAAAATGCGTGTAAAATGTTCAAACCTGCATCCTGGCTCCATGCTTCAGACCACAAGAGGATGAAGATGGCATAAATCCACATCGCGTCCCTCATCTCCAGTTATCTCCGGTTCCTCTGTAAATTAGCTACCACAGGGCCTCTCACACCAGTAAGATCATCAAGTCTAGTCTTTAATTAAATCCTAAGTCCTGAACACTGCCTACAGTGACATCTGACTGAGCTGAGTGGTTTTGCCTGCGCTATCATGCCATTTACCCTAGTTTAGCTATTTCACTTTCTCTATTTATGTCCAATAAGCTCAGTTTGAGTGAAGCAGGTCCTCCTACCCCATCCAGACACACTGAAAATCTTTGACACCCCTCATGATAAAGAAATATAAAATACATGTGACCAACAAATCCCTCCCTTCTTCTTTCTCTTCCCCCTCTCCAAACCGCTTTCCACCCAAACATCTGCCTTTTTCTAACACGCAGGATGACGTCTGATAAGCCAAAACACCAGTTTCCTTTCTTGCTAGTCACATGATCACCCTCTTTCAAGGCAAGATGAAAACTCCCAAACTAGACAACTTTATGAAGAAGACACATTCACAGTGTGTCTTTGTATTATACGCTTCGTAAAATCCAGCATGGGTTTGACTGCCAGACAGGACATTTTAAGGCAGTAGTTTGTGGTGCTGTTGAACTGTCCTGCATTATACTGAGAGGTGTTTCTCATACTCTTCATTGATATGATGATGGTGTACTGTGGACAAAATATCACCATAAACACCTCTTACTATGACACCATAAAATATAACAGCAGCACAAACTACATAGTCTCAAAACTTACCATACAAACACCTCTCTAAAACAGTTAAATCAAAACACGAACATCATGACCTTCATGGAAGTAGGATTTATTTCAAGTTTGTTGCATTAGACTGCATTTTTTAAGGTAGGTTTTAGATCATAAACTTTTTACTTGGTGTATCTTTACTGTACCAAATGAAATCTTTTACGCTGAGTAAGTGCAATTTCACACAAAGGGGTGTACTGTGATCTCATGCATGCTGGTGTAAGCACATGTTGGCGTTTACAGGTTGCACAATGCACAGTTCCTTACATGCACTGAGTATGAAGTGTTAATGTGGGTGCAGGCATTATTACTGACTCGAGCCCCGGTTTGCAGATTCGAGTTTAACTGTCAACGCTGCATGTGGTAGTTATCTCATGTATGTGGTCGTGATCTGCAAGCTGTATGCGGAGTTTGTGGTTCATGAATACATCTTGCATGACACATCTTGATATTAACAGTCCCATATAGGAGACAAACAGGGCAGATGAACAAGAAAAACTCAGCTTTTCCTTTTCTTGAGTGTACTCTCTGTCTTCCCTTATGCCACAGAAACAGGTTGAACACTAATATACAACTAGAACTGGAACAGTTTGACATATCTTCATAAAATCTACAGCTGGTGTTTTAGGATTTCAAAAACAGCACTGGCACTAATGTGAGGAAGGAATATTTGCAGTAATCTGTCTAATATTAGACAGTCTTTATTTACAGTGGCATAACGTCCTGCAGTTCAGCTGACTGTGAGCTGGCACACTTGGTGCAAAGGAACTAACTTTTCCAAATTGCAAAACATTCCAGCTGTGAAGTAATGTTGCTGAGCTGTGTTCCTCAAATCCAAAATAAGTTTTTTTTTTTTTTAAAGCTGAAAAAAGGTAAAAAAGAAACAAAAAGAAAATGCTGATTAGGGACTTTAAGGAGAAAAATAGTCTCTGTAACACATTTCATGTGTGTGTGTGTGTGTGTGTGTGTGTGTGTGTGTGTGTGTGTGTGTGTGTTTCCCTTTGATAACACCAACTTCCTGTTGATGTCAAAATCAGCCATTTGGCTACCCAAAAATATGCTCAGAAGGGTAAAGAAAAAAGTGAGCTGTATGAAGTGGAACAATCAATATGTCTTCTGCAAATGAATAGTAGACAATGGCTCCTGATCTGCATTTGTACGCAGTGGAGCACCACATTAGTTAGTGAGTTAGTTAGTTAGTTAGTTAGTTCAGTAAAAGTATGACTTTTTTTCAGATAACAAACTTTTCTGCCTCCAGGTTTTACCACAAAAACATACATTTCAGAATTTGTAGCCTATGTAGTTGATGAATATTAGGTGCTGCAATAAAATGTGGAGAATCTCCCAAGTGATAAATAAATGTCACCTCTGATGTTTTCTTAAAAACGTATTGCTTTGGGATTATAATTTCACTTTAATAACCTAATAATATAAAGATGGTTGATATATTAAAGGGAAAACAAACATAAAGTTTCATAGTAAGGTGTATCTCTAGCATAGCCTCAATGTGCCTTGAAATGGATTCTACCAATCTCTGGAACTGGGGGGATGATCTCCATTCTTCCAATGTGGTGTTTTGATGATGGTGGTGGAAAGCGCTGTCTAACCCATCGGTCCAAAATCTTGCATAGGTATTCAACTGCGTTGATATCTGGTGACTGCGAAGGCCATAGCATATGATTCACATCATTGTCATAGACCTCTTGTGCCCTATGAATGGGGCCACTGTTGTTGTTCGTGTTAAGTTCCATTTGTGATGCAAAAATGATTACGCCCACACTAATGAAAGATGAATCATATCGCAATACAATGTTTTTATCATATTATTCAACACTAGCTCTCAGAATCATTGTACTCTCAGATGTGTTAATGCAGTGCAAGCCCACTATAATATCCCTCTAACAAAATCAGAATCAACTGGGACTTCATCAGAGGTCAGTTAATGATGTTAGTGAGTAAATGACATGTGTGCTGACTGAGATAAAACCACTTCTGTTTTAGTAAAAGGCTGATTAATCAACACAAACTGCGGTTACGCTCTGCCACACTCTTAGTGGTAGTAGTTAGTTTACAGTAACGTCACATTGAACAGATAAGAATAAAGTGTCTTAACGACAGAAACAGTGACTAATGTCAGAAATATGATTCAATAATGTAGTTGTATACGTCTGGTTCGTCCACTTTGATGGAGGCAGACTAAAAGGACATCAACCCATGTTTCTTTATTTTTATATAGGGATAACAATGACATAACCTAATTATTTACCTTGCTGGCCATAAGATTTTGGCTCCTAATAACTAAAAAGCAAATACGGTATTCTTATTTTATGGCATTAACTTGCCAAAGACCTTAGAATTTGCATTTACATTTTTCAGAAGGGAGCGGGGGCTTGACACAAGGCCAAAGTACCAGGATGGGCTGCTCTCATGTGGTTATACATGCCACAGAGCATTATTGGATGTTCATTTCTTAATTGTATCCTGCAGTGCACCTTTGTGGAAGCGTCTGCATTCGTTATGGTTCTCCAGTCATTTATTGAGAGTTTTCCTTTAATTTGTCACCTGCCTGTATACCATCTCTAAAAATAAAGTAAGGCGGGCAGAGGAAGGGGGAGGGACCATGCATCGGAAGAAGGAGCTCTGGGGGTGTATTTTCACCACTTCTTTCCTGAACACTGTAACACGGGCTCATAAATACTATAACGCTGTAATATGTATATGGTATGATCACTTGTTTTTAATAATCTCCTCTTTGTTTGTTTGTTTTTTAAATAAACTTACTACCCATGAGCCTCAGCCTCGGTCACGGCGTGAGTCAGTGACACAAGTCAGAGCTGTAGCAGAAAACACCTCGTCGTTGCTATTTTTGCATTTACACGTTATATGTAACGTTACTGCCAATGCTTCAAAGCAGCAGATAAGATGTGTTATCAAGTTTCTATTTATTTTATTTCAGCTTCTGCCTTCCGCTGACTGAACTGTGAGCTCCGCGGTTGGATGTTGGAGTTGATATGACTTATAGTAACGTTATATAGCCCTGTGCCTTTGACTGGTGTTTCATTATGGATAAAAACAAACTCATATTTGACCGCAGTTGCACATCGTCGGTAACGTCCACGTCGGTGAACTGTTGTTTTTGAGCAGGAAGTGAACGGGACGGACAGCCGGACTAACTCCTCCCACTTTGACTCCGTTTACCGTCTCCATGGTTACGTTGTTAAATACCGCAGAGGTCGCTGATGCCGCTGTCTGTGAGAGAAATACGTTGGACAAAAAACATTTTAAATAGAAATATCAGTTAATTAAAATGAGCGTATCAGTCACTCACACCATTTCTAAGAAAAACGAAGGTAATAAAGTTGTTAGGCGGCAACGGGTTTATGACTACTTGTATGGTAAGTACACTTAAAGCCTGCGTTCGCGTTTGGAAACTCGCTCGGTTGACATCACCTCAGCTGGTTTTTCTTTTTGCCACAGATCCGGTTTACACGGTGTCATCGGAGGCGGACCATGTCAGGTCCAACCTCAACGCCTATGCGTCTACGGACCGAGTAGTAAGTTGTGTCCTAGAGCAAAATATTGGTTGTGTGAGGTTATATCATCAAATAAGGTTAAACAGTTAGGTTAAGCCTGCGTGATCTCTTTTACCATGTCTAACTAAGTCAAAGCACTAAGTCAAAGGTCATTTAGTTGTTGTTATTACCTTAGGTTTGGATTTGTTTAGGTTTCTGCTTATAGCTCCAAAGATTGCACACCTGAGATTTGGTAAAAATGAAGTGTTGTCTTAAGTGTACAAACTTTACCCACCATTTTATAATAGTTTTGAACCATTTACACAAAGTTTCTACTGCATAACATTAAGTTAAATTCATATATTTTAAACTGAAAGTCATACTTTACTCACTGTCTGTTTACCTCTCACCCACTCGGCACACGTTGTTCCCTGAAGCGCACTGTGACCGAATTATGACCCATGGTCAATGTTGTTGCTGTTTACGCATGAGAACAAAGAAACAGGATGAATGTGAAATGCACTCGCTGACAGTATTTCCTCTCTGCCTTTATCAGAGGAGAGTGCCTGAGTTTGGGTCCATGTTCAGTAACCTGTCCCACCACCCACGGTATACTTTTCAACTGGACCCTGTAGACCCAGTACCGGCCTCTGTTGATCGTCACTGGCGAGGCCACGCGGAGCAACGCAAAGAGGCACTGCAGCAGCTGGCTGGGTAACACGGACAGACAGCAGCAGTTACTGAGTTGTATTAATTCAAGGTTAACTCTGTTACTAAACTCTGTCCCTTGGCGTAGTTATCAGTTTGTGGCTATGATTCTCGATTATCTTCCTGACAGGGTTATTCCAGATGCTCAGTCATGGCTGAAAAGGGAGGAGTGCCATGTGACCGGTGCTGATCGCTGGAAATACTTTAAACGGTTTGAGTAGCCAGCATACACTCTGAAGCTTTGAATATGGTGGAATACAATCATACTAACTTCCTTATCAGCAGTTACCTCTGTCTCATGACCGTTCACAAAACTGCCATTCTGCCCCAGTCTCTGTGTTAAATATTGATATAGTCTCTGATATGCTGTTTCACTCTGTTTCCTTTAGGCCTCAGATTCCCTTCGCACAGCAGGTTCCCCCGGATGTGATTTTTGCTTTGCCGAGGTAAGTTCAACAAATTCCTAATGTTTCTTTATCTGACAGCCATTTCTGTTATGCATTTTTTGCTGGTAGAGGATACATCCTCTCTTTGTGTCTCCTCAGAGAAGATTTTGTGTCCACTGGTGGAAACAATGCTGAGCAACAGCCGACCCACTTCACCGTGGGCGTTCAGACCGACTACAGGGAAAGTGAAACGCAGACAGACCCGTACAGCCCTGAGTATGTGGTACAACATGGGACAACTCCCACTGAGCTCCTGCAACTGGCAGCTTTGACTTGGGGTACATGAACTGTTTAGATCTTCACCAGTTATAAACTATAATGTGTAATTCATTTGTTAAAACATCTCCAGGCTTCCTACTGGTGCTCTCAGCTGAATAGTATACCTGTACCTTGAGCGTCTTATAATTAATCTTACCGATGCCTCTCCTCACCTCTGCAAATTACACTTAACCCTTCTCTCATGGCAATTCCCCTCAGGTCGTGGTCTGCCTGCAGGCCTAGCAGAAGTGGAAATGATACAGCGGGCACGTGCTAAACGAGCATGGGAGGCCACCCTTCCTCCATTGCATGACCTCAGTCAGCTGGACAAAAGGAGACGTATGATGGAGGAGATGGAGGTCAAAGAGTGGGCTTTCAGAGAGGGAGAAATCCAGAAGTGAGTGGTGCTGCACCTCAACCGCTATTATTTAACCTAATTATTTAACACGGCGTACCTAAAATATTGTGTTGGGAACGCCAAAGTCAGAAATATATATATATACTGGCTTTAAAGCAGCTATAATCAATATTGTTTAAATGTAAAGTGGATCAAAGTACTACAAGTGAAATGTAAAAATGATCACCAACTCACTGCTCACTGTTTTGGTTCACTCATTAGTGATCTTAGCTTGTTTCAGCTGCCCCCAAGTGGACAAACAATTAGCTACTGGAGATTTAAGCAAACTGAGTAATGTGTAAACACAGTGGTTTGAACCATTGTAACAGCGGTTGCTCTAATCAAAATACCACAACCATATACTACTTGTGGCTAATATTATGTCTAACCAAGGACAATATGTAGGACATATCTACCTCTTGGCCTGTGAAGCAGTCTTGGTGAAGCTCGCCCTTGATGTTCCTGCTGTCTTTACCATGCAAAACCTCCCCTCCTGCAACGTTCTCTGTTTCTGTGGGTGTTGGCCAGGTTACAAGAGGCTCGTCTTGCTGTGCTGAAGGACCTCTTGAGGAAGAGAGATGGGGCCCAGAAAGAAGTTACAAACGAGAGACTGCACCAGATATATTCAAAGCACCAAAAAGACAAGGACACCAAGCTACACAAGATTCACAATGACTACATGAGGTGTAAGACAACCACTGCCTCTGCTCTAACATACATCATGAATGTCTTATTCGAGGCTTTGTTTCAATCCTTCTCATCCGTCTCTTGTGTGTAGCGCTGAGAAAACTGGAAGCTAAGAGGAGAAATATGGAGGGGAAGCTGGAGCGACCTGGCATTGTCAGAAACTATCTAGAGTCTAAGACAGGTGCCCCTGGGGCCCGCAGGGACACGTTCAGCAAAAGCCAATACTTAGACACATATGAAGGTCTGAATCTAAATGCTTTTGGGGCAAATAGAATTTAGCAAGTCATTTCCAAAATAGCACCTCAGAGGCAAGAGCGTCCCTTTACTGTTGAGGTAACTAGATTTTTTGTCAATCATAGGCTTACTGAAGCTGGAGGCAGGACTCTCAGCCACAGTCCTCAAGCCACAAGGGAAAAGGCCCAAAGTCAACACCGTCAAGGATGTGATCAAGCCCCGTGTAAACAAAGCGGTAGAACTGATGGAAAAATACAAGGTAAAGCAGAAAGAAATATGCCAATTCAGAATATCACTTAAGTTATACTTACATGTGGATTACATATTGTGGCTCCACAGTCCATGAGGGAGAAGAGCGAGCAAGCCAGAGAGAAGTCCTTGCGTTTTCTTGTCAAGAAGGAGAAGACTGTTCCTCGTCCTGTCACTCCCAGAGTGGAGGAGCCACCAGAGGTCAGCTAACGTCTCTGACTCTAACTGACACTGACCTTCTTCATCTTACCAAGAGGCTATTTATTCATTTATGTATTCCCCTCCACAGGGGGATGAGGAGATAGAGCTCGCAGTCATCCACTTGCAGAAACTAATGAGAGGAAGAAGTATCCAATGCGAGGTCTGAACATGTCTGCATGCACGTGTGTGTGTTTACCTGCATGTCTGTGACACTTTTCATGCCCGAAGTGCTAATAGAAATGTTTGCATGTGTTTCAAGTTGTTATTGTAATTAATTTCTACGTGTGTTGACGTGTTTGCAGATGTTTATGGGCAAGGAGAACCATCTGGAGCTCATCCAGGAACTCAGGACTGTCCACGCCCTGCAGAAGGAGGAGCAGGAGTTACAAAATGCTGACAAAGGGCTTGTTATGACCCTGAAAAAACAGAGAGACGAACATAGACACAAGGTGAAACACGCAGACACGTTCACCGGCAAAATTGTACAACCTCCAGACAATCCCATTACACCTTCTCTCTTTCCGCGCAGACCTCTCAAGAGGAGGCGTCTCAGGCCAGAGTGGTAGGTGCAGAGCTCGAACACCTGTTCGACACTTTGTCCAAGGAGCTGGTTCATCTCCAAGAGGAGCGCAGGATCCATGCCTTCACACTACTGGCTGAGAGAGACCGCCGCCTACGAGAGGCTGAGGAGAGTGGAAAGAGACAAGTGGAGGAGCGCCGACGCAGAGAAGAAGATGAGATCTTCAGACAAGTGCGTACATGTTTAGCTATGAGGGTGCAATGGAGATTGTTCTAGAAAATAATGTTTGTTAGGTGCACATGTTTTAATGCTCAGCGCGTGTGTGTGTCCTTAACACGGTGTCACAGGTGGTGCAGGTACAACAGGAAACTGTGGATTTGTATTTGGAGGACATCATCTTAGGGACCTTGGAGCAGACAGCCAACCAGCAGGCCAGAGAGGAGATCCGCAGGAGGGCTAAGGAGGTCAATGACATTGCTTACGCCATGGAGGAAAGGTAACGGATACCTCAGCATGACTGCTGATGCTTTATATTCAGAAATTCAAACCAGAGAATAATAAACAAAACTCATTTGTATGTGTGTGTAGCCGGGACAGTCTTCAGTCGGAGGAGATTGTGTCAGAGTTGGTGTACAGTTTCCTTATCCCAGAGGTCGAGAAGATCAGTGTCAGACAAAGAGGTTTGGGAGATTTTTCTGTTTCCACTGCATTCACACATTATTATCACAGAATACAATATCAAAATTATTACAAATTATGAATAGACAGTATTTGAGGTAACAATTAAAAACATGTCTTGAAGGTAAGAGATGCCCTCTATAAAAAAAAAGAACAATTAAATGATAAAATTTAAGGCAGATGCTTTGCGCACCAGTCTAACCTCATGATTTTTCTCTCCCAGTGCACCAGAGGCAGCATAGACACTTGCAGGCAGCTCATAATATAATTCAGGGGACTGCAGAGCATTCTGGGATCCATCGTAGTACTCTGGGAGCCTCACAGTCTACCTGTCCCTCTGAAAGAGCCTCTAATCGAATCCTAGAGGAGATGAGCCTAGTGGAGCAGCACCGCACTAAAACTGAGTAAAGGATTGTAGATATAAAAAGTGTACTGAGATGCAGTCTGATGTCTATATTTGTTGTCCACTCCTATGATTAAAGTATAAGTTTCCCATCATTGTGGGTGTATAGATTAATTAAAGCCTTTTCATTATTACTCCTTACATATTTTATCCAGAATGTGCAGTATATTCCCATCTTTTCTGGAAAGGACCCAGGTACAAACTCTATTTCTATCTAGGGGTCTGAGATGCTATGGAGGATTCAATTCTAAGGTTACTTATTTCGACTACTTCTCTTATTTAAAGTGCTTCTGCAATTTACATATTATAATGTTAAACCCAGTATCTCCTTTCTTTGGAGCCCCTAAAGTCCCCAAAAGGAAATATTTTTTAACTTGTGCGCAATTCAGATTTCAGCAAGAGCAGCAAGAATTTCATGGTATGACATTCTGAGGTGAAAATAAAACTTGATAAGCTGAGTTCTCTCCATTATATGACAGCTGTGTGCATCTGAAGCCGTTAGAGATGCATATGAATTTATAGTAAATGATCTTGTGCCCAAAGGATTAATAACTTGTGCGCACAAGATTAATAACTTGTGAGCACAAGATCAAAAATATTTCCTTTTGGGGACTGTAGGGGCGCCGTACCTTTCAGAAATGTAATGATATTAAGCAGGTCTCTAAAAAATAATTTTTATTTTAAGCAAACTTCTATACAGAGTTCAAATGTGAGGAAATGTTCAATGTGTCACAGATATTGTTTGACTTTAGAAGTGATCCCTTCAATTTCTCTAAAACTGTACAGTCTTTTATGAGAGTTTATATTATTATAAGTATTACAACACATTTTTACTTTGGGGGTGACTTTCCCTGTAATATTATCCAAAATTGTCAGTAAAATTACTTCAAATGTCACATAGTCATAGCTGATGTCTTTCTGAACAGGAATTCAAGTTTTAGTAAACCTCTTCAGGAAAATATTTTCCATAATTCTTTTTAAAAATGTTGTATGCTGATAGTCACTATAAAAAAGCAAACCAATTAAGGACAGTTGTTTATGAGATCAAATAGGCCTATAAAGGCATACTCCAGGTTACAATGCATTTTGACCTTGGGTGTGACAAATTTTCTTCAATGACTTCAGATGTTTTGTATTGTATGTCAATGTGACTGTCAGCGCCATTCTGAACGGAAATCTACTATGTTAATGAGAAAACTGTCTTTACTTTAATGCGTATTTACAGTGGAGGTGAACTTATATTTTTTTGTGTAGGGGGTTTTATATCGTAAATGAATCACATTTTCAGGGGGACATTAAGTCAAATGATATATAAATATAATGTGTAATTGGGTGAAACGTGAGAACTCATTGCAGTTGGCCATTGACCATGAACAGCGAATAAACAGTCCTCCTATGTCATTTTCTTTCTGTTTTGGCCACGCCCAGTTACAGTACAGTAGTAATTGCTTGAATAGACGCCCAGCAAAATCCAAAACGGCGGCTGGCAATAGTTTTATTTTATTTCAGTATTTATTTAGCAAACAACGGTACTTACTTGCCCGCAGTTGTGTGTGGAAGCTGCTCAGGATCATCTGCATGGTGCATCAGTCAACAGTGGTCAGTGGCAAACTTTCCTCCGTACTCACAGTGGATCTGCACACGCTGCAATGGGTGCAGCCTTTACATGTCTCTCTTTTATTCTTTACTTTTTATTTTTCACTTAATGTCCGGCGGTTGAGGGGTGCGTGCGTAACAGGGTGGCACGGGATGCGCCACTGGCATGGGCGGGCATTGCACCTCCACCCCCCCCCACCCCCCTTTGGCGACGGGCCCGTCTCGCAGGCTTCAGCCAGGATTACTTGTAGCAACGAGCCCGGCATCAAACAACAACACGACAAGCAGGAAGACTTAGTGCGATACTCGTTCTCACCTGTTGAATCAATCCAAAACCCGCCGAGATTAACCGCTGACAGGGCGAAACTACAGACAGCTGTTTGGACATCTGGAATCACCAAGTCAGTGAGTTGAATGATCCTGATCGCTGTTTGATTACCGCTCGACCTTTAACCGGGTACAGGAGAGGCAGGGAAAGTAGGTCTTTTCAGATTATTTGAAGGTTTACGGGCTGTCTCTTACATGTGTTAAACGTATCATGTCATATTTATGTGTCACAAAGTTTCTGCTGCCTGCCAAGACGAAGGCGCGACTGTCGCTCAGACAAACAATGCTTTTACATGCTACTTATTGTGTGTGTACATAATGTTTTCTCCAGTCACTGTCACACGGCTGTGTAAATGAAAGTATTGGATTACTGGTGGCGGTTGTGCAGGAAATAGACATTTTAACTGTGATTTCAAAATAATGGCATACATGGCATGCATTATTGAGGGTTAATGATAAAATGACATGTTTTTAAGAGTAAAAAGATAAATTTTCTTCAGTTGAAACAATCTTACAATTATACTAAGTGATTAATCAAAACCTCTATTAACCCATTTGTACTACTTCTATTGAGTACCAGATAAAAGCCTATCACTGCAAACTACAATAGTGTGACAGCGTCAGGCAAATAAGTGGTATTGGAAGTGATGAGTGTCCCTATTGGTGCTGTATCAGGTCAAAAGCTGTGCATTATTCCTTGTATTGGAGCGCCAGTTGTGGTAAAACACTGAGGTTTTTTGCAGGTACTGGTGAGCCTCACCTCACAGTGTTGTTTGTGCTTGTGGTTGTCAACACTAAAGCCTCTCTTCCCACTTACTAAAACAACACTGCACACAAAATTAATGGTTATGAATTAACGTTTATCTCATCATCCGTCAGGTGAGAATGAGTAACAAGGCCACTGGGGCGCAGACCATCCGAGAAGCGCTTACGGGGCAAAATGAAGAGGACGAGGACGAGGAAGGAAAGGGGACAGAAGACGAGGAATCCAGAGCCTGCGGTGTGTGTGGAGATCTGGCCAAGGGTTACCACTTTAATGCCTTGACATGCGAAGGCTGCAAGGGCTTCTTCAGGTGAGGTTGTTTTTCTTCTTCTTCTTCTTCTTCTTGTGTTTTCTTCTCTTACACACATGCTGCAGCGTCTCTCTCTTCCCCCGCCGTTGATGCTCCATTCAGTGTTTCTACTTCCTGGCTGTGTGACATTATTTATAACAAGCACCGTGAACATGTGTGATGTAGGAGAAAGGTGACAAAATGTTTCTCTTTTTTCAGAAATATATAGCCAAGTGCCAGACACTCACTGGCACTGCCAAAACAACAAGTACAAAAACCATCATTTGCTTTTGAATTTATACTGTAACACTCCATTCCATTTCTCACTCGGATGAATGAAATACACACACAATAGTTCTAGTAAAGAATAATGCTGTTAATCACAAGGCACACAACAATCAAAGGTTTAAAAAGTATATTTGGAATTGGTGATAAATACATTACAGTAAAAAATATATAATAATGTAATAATGTAAATATAAACAAACAAAATACACCAACTAATGAAGCCATACAAAAACTAACCTATAAGGAACTGACGGACAACAGAGGGGATAAGATCTGTCTGTGTTTGACTCCAATAAATGTTCAGGTATTAGCAACACAGTTCAGGCTGTTTCTGACCCTCACTGACTGACTGTGGAACCAGCAAGTAAAAGATCTCAGTAGAAGATCAATTAGAGCGAACGAGAATAATTAAACTGACAGAGAACGTTTTTGGAGAAGGTGAACTCTTTGCTGACCTTGCTTTCTGTGATTGTATCTCAATCATTAGTGACAGCATTGCCCCCAAATTGGGATTTTGCTCACCAATCAATGCTTAGAGGTCCAGTGTGTAAGACTTAGTGGCATCTAGCAGATCGCAACTCACTTGCTTTACGCACTGTTTCCAAACGTGAGGGAGAAACTACAGTGGCTGCGAAACTCGTAAAAAACGCGAATGGTCCTGTATAGAGACTGTGTTAGGTTTGTCCTTTCTGGGTTACAGTAGAAACATGGCAGTTCAACATGGCAGCCTTCATGAAAGGTGATCTGCGGCGTCAGTAGGTAAAATGTCTCATTCTATTCTTATTTTCAGGTGTACACTAAGGAAACATATCTATTGTATTTGATTCTTTGAATAAAGGCAAATGTTGTCCAGAGAGAGAGAGATAAAGCAAAAATGTAATACAATATATATATTCTGTATAAATTTGTAGAAATAATTGTTAGTTGTGCTCTAGACAATGTCTCAAAACAACCAATTCATTGAACTTAGAAACTATTTATAACTTTAAAACACACATGGTATCTGCGTGCACTCTGTCCTCTGTCTCTTCCTGTGTGGCTACCTCTTCATCTGCCTCAGTAGACAGTTTCCTTCTCTGATGTCTGACATCAAACTCAGTTCCCTATAATGTGGCTTAAGTGTACATTTACGTGTTTGTTTTCAGTTGTTCAGATGGATTTTTTGTTAGAAACAAAGGACCCAGTTTTGAGAATTGGGTAAAACAAACACCAAAGCTGCAAATGCATGCTCCAAATGATGCTCAAAGCTTTTTATACCATCAACATAATCATTGAAAATGCTGTAACAAAAAAATAACTCTTCACTCAAGGCAGCAAAAATAGAAAGAAAACATATTTTCCTGCAGTAATTAGCGGTAAACAAATTCAATCAAAGTGGCAAATTATCTTTGAATGTTTTCTATTCAATATGTTGCTTTAAAGGGCATATGTTTTCATTCACATTATACCTACTGTGATATTCTCCCTGCTCAGACATGAATGAACTTTCTCAATATGCTGAATATGCTAGAAGAATTCTGTCCCTTCATTGAGGAATGGCGAGTACTGTGTTTTGGAAGATAAACAATTGATATTACACTTTATATGAGATACATTGCTTCAACTCCAGCTGCATTTCCTACTTCCCCTGCTTCATTTTTGCATCTTTATACCGATTATGTAGTCAAAACTTTGTGATCTTTGTAGAGTGTGCATCAAGACCGTACAGCGCACTAAAATATTTATTTTTATCCTAATTTGTAGCTGATCTTTGTGTGAAACGTAAAGAAATCTATGTGAATGCATCTTAGTTTTTAGACCTTTGCGTCACTGCTTTTCCAGTTTTAGATCCCAATGGAGAAAAACTGACGACATGTGATTACATTTAGTATTGGGATTATAATTATACCAGATTACCAGAAATATTAAACATTTATTTAATCTCATCAGCAATAGTTTGCATATTAATATTTACATTATGAGCAACATGCCTGAGAGTGATTCAGTTCACTAGTAAAGCAGTGTCTTACACAGTAGTATGTCAGTGGAAGATAAATATCTCAGATATATAGTTCTGTGCAAAAGCAGGAAGGAAATGCTGCACACTTGTGTGACAAAATTTGAAGATGTGAGAATTTCACCCTCTTTTTAGCTTGTTTCGTTTTTTTCGAAAGTTCTTGGAAGATCTGGCTCTTTAGCTGCTGTATGTGGGCTGCTGCTTCAAGTTTGGTTTGATCTATTGCTTTAGCTTTTGTGTTTAGCAATCTATGTCGGCAAGACCAGAACTGTTTTTCCACAGGGACAGAAAGTACATCAGTGTCAGTGTTACACATATGTAGTTATTTGATTCTGCGATTGATTATCGCAGCTTTAAATATATGATTATTTTTTTAATATATGATCCTTTAGTAACTGACATCCTTTTAAAAGCATCGTTTTCAATTATATGTACATTATTTGACTCTTTATTGTTATTAAATTATAGCTATTAAGATAGAGAAATGATCCCCCACACTCTAAAACATTTTGTGGGTTGGAAACATTTTCAGTAGTCCCATCTAGAAGTCTGCTCACTTTGGTTTATACAGGATTACTATTGGCCGTACTTACTACTAAGTATTAACTATTCAGTCATTAGTGTTGCCACAGGAATTCTCATTGACTCAGATACACTGTACACTGTATTTATGAGCTGTGTGGTCGACTCACTAATACTACAATGTAATGTATGTTTTCATGCATGTGATTTCTAACTTCAGTGTTGTTTGTTTGCTGTTACTAAGTGGATTTTTAAATAAATTCAGACGTGCCATAAAGAGGTCAACGCAGCTCCGCTGTCCGTTCCTGAATAAATGCACTATAACCAAAAACAACCGACGGTCGTGTCAAGCCTGCCGCTTCCGTAAATGCCAGGCCATAGGCATGCGTCAAGAAAGTAAGTAGCATACAGATAGACCAAATGACCCCTTATTATTTATACTGTATATTACTAGTACAGTATGTGATGTGACGAGCTCATTATTCAATTGCTGGAGGTAATTCATTATTAAATGTGCATATTGAGTTAATATGTTATGCTATATCTATATTTTCTTTGTGACTTTTCTATTTCAACACAATCCAGCAATAGAAGTTAAACAGCACTGCAGGAGTGATTGAAAAACATGAGTAAAACTTAATTTAAAAAAAAGTTATTCAGTCATTGGTGTTTTTAAATCAGTATTTCCATGGTAACATACATACAGGTCTTTTTTTTGTCCTTGTAGTGGTCATGTCTGAGAAGGAGGTGTTGGAGAGGAGGATCCGCATCAAGAAGAAGAAGATGCTCGTTGCAACAATCCAGCTTTCCTCCCAACAAGAGGAAACAATTCAGGAGCTACTCTGTGGCCACCGCAGCACATTTGACTCAGCATTTTACCGCTTTAGTGGCTTCAGGGTGAATGTGTGAATGACTGCAAGCATGTTTTAGGGTGTTGTCATCATCATTGTCTTAACTTATCTGACTGACATTTTATTTTTTTCAGCCAATGGACAGAAACATCCTTCCTGCGAGTGAGTACAACCATTCTGAAAACGAGCCCTCGTACGCCTGTTCCCTCTCCTTCTCCCTCTCGTCGTCCTCCTCCTCCAGTCTCTGTGGTTCCTTTGAAAAACAAGACAACCAAGAGGGCGAACAGGCCAGAAAAAACACAGCTGTTTTCACTGCTCTTCCGCATATGGCTGACCTCACAACTTACATGATCCAGGACATCATTAGTTTCTCCAAAGGTCTTCAGGACTTCCGGTAAACGTGTGCTTCAATGCATATTCAAATATGTCTCAGTGGAGTTTTTTGTATGATTCATGTCTAGCTTTTAAGTGTTTATCACACTGGTTTTTTATAGGTCTTTAAGCATTGGGGACCAAATTGCTCTGTTGAAGGGAGCCACATTTGAAGTTATGCAGATCCGCTTCAACATGGTATTCAATGCAAAAAGAGGCACCTGGGATTGTGGCCATTTTACATACTGCATAGATGACGCTGTACGAGGTGAGACTGCTTACACAAGCGAAAGTTACAGAATGTATATTTAAAGGGGTTGGGGCTAACTTTCCTACTCTGCAGTGTCCAAAAGTAAAGACGAGTAGATACACATCACACATAACACTTTAAAATGTGCATAGATACAGATTTTCACTGCATAACACTATTTCTTAAATATCTACAAACCAAGTCAAACCTGCATTGATTTATTTTTTGACAACAGTTGCCAATAAGCACATCCAGCACACACTGAGCAACATTCACTTGGAGTCTTGTTTTTTGGGCACCAGTTGCAAGTTCAATATTCACTCTCCTTTTAGTTTTGTTATTGAGCTCCATCAACTCATGAGGAAAATATCTGGCTTTTTAGCAGCTGAATGCTCTATTATGTTGGTAGTGTATCAAAGTTGGCTTGAAAAAAATAGCTGTTGTGAGACTGAACCATAACAGTAAGGTTGGGGGTTGTTAAACCAAAACAGTTAGCTTAAAGATGCTAAAATGCTCCATAGAGCTGAGTACAAGGGCAGAGTTGGATGATAATTCTCTGTGGGTTCATCCCTACAAGCAACTAATTTCACATGCAGTAATTTCATCCATTTTTAATATAAAAATATTAATTATAGCAGCTTTAAGAAAAGAGGTGCAATCATATGGAGGCTGAAGTTCCACTGGATGTTGTAATTCTAATTCTAATTCAGATACATTCAGTGAGGGTTTTAGCTTAGAATGGATTGGAAATACAGATGGATCGATGTGATTGTATTAAGTGATAGAGGATATATAAGGCACAGATATGATCTGAAACTAATTAAACAGCACAGAGGTATGTGCTGTATGTGAGGAATCTAGGTTACAGCTGACAACGTTTAAAAGCAATCCAAACTATCAGCAGTCGCAGACATGTCAAGTACCTCTGATTTACAGACAGAGTAATTTTTTTGACCTTATGAATGATATTTATTATCTCACTTGTCTTGGTTTCAATTAGTCTTGAGCCTTTAGCTTATGTACGAAGTTTCTAATATGAATGCAGACATCTGTGCATACATATATAGATGTTGTATTTTTTATTTGTGAGCAGTCAGATATGTAATAAAAGGTGTATGCATCACTTATCTCAGTTCTCAGACATGTAACATGACGCCTGTAGGAACGTTCACTAGAATGTTGTCGAACTGGTTTTGTCTGTTTCTTTTCTTTCTTAAGATCAAACAAAATGCAGTTCACATATATTCGCTGTGTTCCGGCTTCGTGCTCACTGAGGTTACCCGGTAGACCGTCTTTAACACTGTGTGCATTTTCTAGTTATATTCACTGTAAAATTAGGAAATAAGATACATATATATATATATATCTTATTTATATATATATATATATATCTTATTTTCCTAATCTTACAGTGAATATAACTAGAAAATGTGTTAAAGACGTTCTACCTATTTTATTTACCATGGATTTCAAACCTAACCCCATGGTTTGACAACAAACTCAAAATAATTTGCCACCATGTAAATACATATCCTGTATCCAAGAGTTTTGTCTATATTGTCCAACAGTCTTACATTAAGTACCCTGTAAAGGATTAAACATCCAGAAATAGTCAAAGAAAAGTCTACATTTACATGATAGTTGAGACTTTATTAAACATAAAAAGGCTCAAGAAAAGAAAACATTACAGGTAAATGTGATGTTAAATTTAGCATGATGTACTTTTCCACAGAATTCTTATTTATTTTAAGTACAACAACACAGTCATGCCAGAAAGGCTGTTCTCATTCACTACTTGACTCAAACTGATTCCACTTTTGTGTTTTTTTTGTCTTATTTTGCATTTCCTGAAGATGATTCATAATAAAAGCCATGCTGGGTACCACATTCCCACTTAAAGGGAAACTCTTACCAATTCTTACACATCAAAGTGTGTTTACAAGTCCTGGAGAGTACTACTGCATATGTTATATAAAGCCTTTTGCGTGTGACAAATGACCTCAAATGATGTCACTTGAGTTAGAAATAAGTGAGCTCTGTAACCCACTCCTTTTCTCTGCTTATGGCAAGCGGTTCGAGGCTACATTTGCTGCTATTAGCATAACACAACTGAATCTTGACCAAGTGTTTGGTGGTCGAGTTGCATTGTGGGTAATGTAGACACAAAATTTTGACAGAAGAATAATGTGTGGAATGAAATGAATGATCATCAGTCATTGTTTTGCTAGTTTTACCTTCTCTGTGCACTTGTGTTTTGTAGCCGGCTTCCAGCCGCTCCTGCTGGAGCCTCTGCTCAAATTTCACCACACACTGCGCAAACTGGGCCTGCAGGAGGAAGAGTATGTTCTCATGCAAGCCATGTCCCTGTTTTCTCCAGGTAGCAGCAGGTCTTCATCAGTTCATCCCAGTCCAATCATGCCCTGTGAATACTGTATTTAAACCCTACAAACAGTGTGCACTTGTATCCAGCGCAACTTTAAAAATTAAAGTTCTCAGGTTCAGGTTCCTTTGCATTAGTAAGTATTCGTTTTTATTCAATCTATCAGATCGTCCAGGTGTGCAGCAGCACAGTGTAATTGACGAGCTTCATGAAAACTTGGCAATGACGCTGAAAACCTGGATTGACTGCAAGAGAACAGGACCAGAAAAACAGTGAGTGAAAAACCAGGTGCCACTCTCAGTCCACTGAAAGCTTTCACAGGTTTACAACCTCCTTTGTTTCCTCTGTGCCTCCAGCTTGCTGTACCCCAAAGTGATGGCCTGTCTCACCGAGATGAGAACAATGACCGAGGAGTACAGCAAACAAGTTCTGCAGATCCAGGACATCCAGCCTGACGTTATCTCTCCTCTCATAGTAGAGATGGTTCGTAAAAACCCCTGTAATGACTTCTAATACTGACATCTACTGTACATGGACAGCTCAGGCTTCTGGGTCCACCTATGCTATTTAATAATGAAGACACCAAACTGGAAACCAGTTGAATGTGATCATGGATTTAAAGAGAAGTATTTTGTTATCTGTCTGTTATTTGTCAAAACCCTAAAGAATGCATTTGTCATGTAACAGTCTTAAGCATAGACTGCACAACATCCTGAAATAATTAACCTCACAGTCTGACTCCTGCTGAAATGTAAACTATTATCTGTTCTCTGCACACTACCTGTCAGACAGCATTAAGTTTGTTTTGTTAACTGGTGAAAGTACTAGTGGATGTGTCATGTTTGTGTTATTTGTTTTGCTTACTTTAAGTACATTTGTATGTCTATGAATGAATGTCGACTTAAGGTTGTGAGGTTTAATGTTTTTTTTTCAGACCATGAAGTCTGTATTTTCTCAGAGAGAGCTGCAGTTGCAAAGACTATATTTGCTTTTTATATACGTTACCTCAGGTTGTGTTGATGCAATCATATAAAACAAAAATGCTCTACACTCATTGTAAATAAAACTTACTAATGGTGCTCCTCAGATTGAAGTGTGTGATGGTGCTTCTATGGTCATTAACAGCATAACAGGACAAACACTGCCCCACTGTGGTCGTACTCAGACAAAAGATAACAAGGATGTAAATGAGTTGGTGCCACAGCAAAAATCTGAGCTGGTATGTGTAAAACTGTTTGTACTGTAAACTGTAATAATTATGGCACATGTTAGCCATGATAGTGGCAGCAGTGACTGTGGCAGTCTGTCCTTCAGTTTGGTCCAGACTAAAATATCTGAACAATTGTTGGATGCATTGCCATTCAATTTTGTACAGACATTTGTGGTCCCCAGAGGATGATTTCTACTGACTTTGGTGATCCTCTGTCTTTTCTTCTGGGGCCACAATGAGGTCAGCATTTGTCTTTTGAGCGAAATGTCTCAACAACTATTGAATGGGTTGCCATAAAATCCTGCGTTGACATCCACGTCCTTCTAAGGACACATTGTAATAACCCTGCTTTCATCTAGTGCCTTCATCGGGCACAAATCTTCACAGTACTGTGGTTTATGACCAAATATCTGCAAACCTAATGACAATCTCATCAGCCTTATCTGCATTTTGTGTTTAATGCTAATTAGCAGATATTCGCATTCTAACATGCTTTGACTATGTGATGGCACATACTGAAAGAAAACGGAACAGACACAGATTGATCATTTCCAGGCTATCCTACTCTTTATTTAATGCAAATTACAGTACCAGGGAACTATTCCTCAGAGCACGCAGAGGGGATATTTACAGAGGTGCACATTGAGCATACCTTCACAGAACAAAAAAAACAAAAACAAAAAACAAAACAAAAAAACCAATGAAATATAAATTTCAGTCACAAACAGAGGCATTCAAGTAGTAGTACTGTTATACAGGATGTTTTTGTAGTATTTTCTATGATTCTTTTCTTTAACCCCAGTTAAACCTAGTTAGCATATTAAACTAGTATATATGCTAGTATAACATACTAGCATTTATACTCTTCTTTTTTGGTAACTTTTGTGGTGTTTTTATTGAACTGGAGTTAGGGGTAGGGTGAGGTGGTCAAACTGTCTGGTGGTAGCAACACGTTCATGAATGCAAAATTACAGCAAGCAGGAGACAGGAGAGAGGCTACATGACTCGACCCCTTAGGTGCTACTGAATTCCCCCCCAAATATCCGAATATGCAGACAGGAAGGAGAACAAGCAAGAGGACAGAGAAAGAACAAAATATCCAGAGTAAGAAGAAGGGAGACAGAATACAGGACTGCCTCTGAGGATGCTCATCACAACTACATCTTAGTTTGGCTTTGGTAACAGAACCAACACTGTGAGTAATACAGAAACTGTACTGTATTGTATATATATATACAGTATAT